GCCAAAATTATAGAGTTATTTCTCTTTGGTATCCCAAATAAGTAAGGTTTTATGAAAATTCATATAAATATCTAAAAAATTTTTTTAGAATCATTCCAATACTTTTGAGAATTGACTAAGAGATAGGCGGAAGAACAATACTATCGATCGTAGTTCTTTACGACATTGAATGTTGACCTTTTGACCCCAAATTCAAAAGGTGTCTTCGTAAGGCCACATGGATTCTGTTATGTTAAATTTCATTGCAAATGTTCAAAGGGTTGGCGAGATATCGTGTGGAAACGAAAGCGTTACAGAAAGACGGATGGACGGACTGACAGATAGACCCAAATTAATATCTCCCACTTTTCAAGCGGGGGACAAAAAGTATCAAATCGGGTTCAAATGATAATTTATCATACCTAAGATTTGTAGGAATATTGACTTAGCCATGCAGAATTTTTTTTTTCAAAGTGCGTTAATATGGTCGATATTAACGCACTTTGAAAAAAAAATTATTTTTTCAAAGTGCGTTAACCTGGTCCCAAAATTTAACGCACTTTGAAAAATTTTTTCAAAGTGCGTAATTTTTTCAAAGTGCGTTGCCACAAGGCACTCTTGCTCATCATAACTATGTACTTAGTTGGTTTATTTAATATCTAGGAGCAGAGAAGAAGATTTTAAAAGAAATAATGCATTTTCACTTAACCTACTTATTTAGCCCCGCCCTAGCACTAGAACCCCTGATCCCAGGGCCATAAATTTCACAATTTTGGTAGAGGACTCATTGCTGATTACAATCATGCAAACAGTTTGACTGCTTGATGTCCAAGAATAAAGAAGAAGATTTTTAAAGATTGCATTAATTTTAGTGGTTTTGGCCCCACCCCTCAGGCCCCAGGGGGGCAGGGACCATGAAATTCACAATTTTTGTTTCCCTTTACCCAGAGATGCTGTATACAAAATTTGGTTGAATTTGGTTTAGCGGTTTCAGAGAAGAAGCTGAAAATGTTCAAATGTTAACACACGACGGACGACGAACGACGGACGACGGACGCCGACGGACAAACACGGATGGCAATAGGTCACCTGAGTGACTCAGGTAAACTAAAAAATTGGACGATAAATGTATCATTTTATTTGTAATACTTTCTACCTTCTTATCTCTTTGTTTAACACAAATGGAAACAAATATAATTGAAACATTCTGCTATCATTTATGATAGACTTGATAAACCAATTATCTAAGTAAGAAAGTGCATTTATCAAAGTTCCATAAAATTATAATTGATGTACATGTTTGTATACAATTTTCTTTAAATGAATATTACAGGTAATTCATGTTCCCGTCAAAAATAGAGATACCAGATATAAATGGTAAGAACAAAATCCATTTAAGCAATTATTAACCTATGATCAAAGAAAATAAGCATTTCCTATCTTAATTTCTATCATTGAACGAAGTTAAAGTTTATTTATAATTTATAATTTAATTTCATTGTAGACAAAAATCATGTTTTCAAGAAGGAGCAGGGTTTCTTCGGTAAGAATGTATACCTTAGAAAATGAGTCATTCAGTGCAGTTCAAGAATAGTTGAGAAATGTATGTTTCACAGCAACAAGGTGCAGACAGTATCCGGTCACCAGGTTATTGTCTGAAGTCACATCACTTAATAGATTGTATTGCTTTGAAATAGAAAGACACTCTAACATTGCATAATGGGCGTCATGGTCTACCGAAAATTATTCTTTGCAAAATTTGCAAAATTTGGACTACGACATAATGGATAACATATCATCCACATTAATAAAAACGTGCAACAAAAACAAATTATTTTTATCTTGCTTTGGTAATATGTAAAAGCAACTGTATTGTCTGTTGTACTTTGTTTTAGGATATCAGGAATGTTTAACAAGTTATGATAGTGTTGGAACGATTCAATACCTCCGTGAAATTGACTCTAAAGGAGAAGTTCTAGATTTCACCAATAAAGAACCATGTGGTTTCGAGAAAAGAGTCCCAAATAAGGACAAAGAAGACATTTTAGCCTTTGAAGAAATCAAACAGAAGTCCTCGGTCAATGGCATAGGTAATTCTCCACTTGCAAAATTAAATCTTTCAAATTTAAAATATACTTGGTTTCATTGTTTTTATCGATGTACGGACTATCTTTTCTCATTTCGATGCTTCTTCTGGTTTATGAAATACCGTGGTACTAGCTTTTTTGGGACTTGTTTGGTACTATAAGTTATCGTTTTCATTTGAAGGTCCGAGAAGGATTGACATGTATGTCTAATTTAAAGAAATTCTCATACCTTAAGATATCAGGAATGTTCAAGATATTGTGACAGTGGTGGAACATACCTCAATTTAAATGAAGAAATTCTAAATTTCACCAATAAAGAATCTTGTGCATACGAGGAGAGAGTCCCAAATAAGTACAAAGAAGATATTTTAACCGCTGAAGAAATCAAACAGAAGTGCTCGGCCAACAGCAAGGGTAATTCTCCACTTGCAATATGAAATTTTTCAAATGTAAATTATACCTGTTTTCGTCTCTTTTTTGCGATGTACAGACCATTTTTCCTTTCAATTGATTTTCCTTCCTTATGAAAAGTGTCGGTGCTAGTTTTTTTGATTTTGATACTTGTTACTTTAAGTAGGTCTTTCATAAAGATTCTCATACCATATAGGTGGGGATCGTGAATATAAAGAAAAATGATTTAAAATATAATAAGGTCAAAAATATATGAATCAGAAACAGCACAACAACATGGGCCATTTGAAAGAGCAGTTATGTGGTCAGGACACCCTTTAAGGAGAAAGCATTTCCTGTTAACCAATTAGTAGAGATTTTTCATTTCCAGATTTTCTTTTCAAATTGAAATTTCTTCATAAAGGCAATTCAAAAGCTTTTATTTTCCCATATCCATTTATTCCTCCGAAATGTGGATCAAATATATTTGGAGATTCAACTTAATAACAAACCAAGTTTCTATATTACACCCTAACAAATATTTAGTTGCACTAGAGTAGAAATCTAAGGTGTTTATGCTCTAACTTATTTTAGTTGTAATGAACAAACTAGCACAGAAGTATTAGTATCAGTTTTGCTGTATGTTGAGAATTTTTTTGCTATGTCGCACGAACAAGATCACACTAAGTCACAATGGGCAATCAAAGTATACGGATAATGATTAGTTATATTAATACATGAGAAACCTCAAGTAGTGTGGACTCAAGATTGAAAAAATCAATCAATAATCCTTCGTGGTAGGACAGGACTACAAAAGAGTATAAAACTTACTGCCCAACGGCCCTGAGTGACGAATAAAGGTCAAAGTCTGAAACCTTCACCGATATATGGTAACAACGCTACATGAATGAAAAATTCACAAATGAGACTAAATGAGACAATACAATATCTACAATCAATCAATCAATCAATCAATCCAAACTGCTCAAAACTTATTGGAAAAAAAATTCTATAGAGAATCATTTAGGGTTTGTGATAATGGAGTTATTGGAGTAATGTATACAGGGTTATTTTCACCCCGCGTTATTTTTGCCCTTTTCACACTTGCAGACAATTTTGCCCTGTTTTAAATTCGTCCAGTCATAGCTTTATTTAAGAAGACATACTGTGTTCTTTGAATTCGCCCAGTTTTAAATTCGCCCAAATGAGGGTAGGGTGAAAGGGGCGAAAATAAAACGGGGGCGAAAATTTCCCCGTATACAGTAATTTTATGCGGTCACTTCTGGAAGCCTCAGGATCGTACATAAAATGAATTGGTATTGACAATTCTGGTAATTGGTATTTATAACTATGGAGTATGTTCTTTGTAATCAAAAGATATTTTTAAAAAAGTTCAGCTAAAAGAAGAAAAAACTAGAGGCCCACGGGCCACATTGCTCATCTGAGAAGCTTTGACCATGCTATTCTTAACCAGAATTCCCCCTTGTAATACCTACTGTGACCCCATCGTACCACACGGGTCATAATTTAAACAATTAAGAATCTACACTATCCCAGGATGCTTCAACATAAGTTTCAGCTTTTCTGGCCAAGTAGTTCTTGAGAAGAAGATTTTTAAGGTTTTTCCCTATATATATTTATGTTGAAATTTGATTCCCTTTTGTGGCCCCACCCAATCCCTGATGGTCATGATTTGAACAATTTAGAATCTACACTACCCCAGGATGCCTCCACCTAAGTTTCAGCTTTTTTGGCACAGTGGTTCTTGAGAAGATTTTTTTAAAAAGATTTTCATACGTAGAGCATGCTCTTGCGTATCGAAAAAACTGAGATATATAGATTCCGTATGCAGGTGATGAAGGAATATTGCTGCATAAGTAAAGGAAGTTGACGATAGAAAAGTTAAAGTCATTCGTCATATAGCTTGGTTGTTAGATTACCAATAAGTCTTTTTCAAGTAAAATATCCAAGTATGAAACAGATGTGTCAGACTCTGTGGTATCTTTAATCTCAAGCTCATCAGGATATATCGTATCGACGTAGGAATGGAATTGACCATTGTTAATTGACAATACGTCGTCGATATATCTAAATGTCGAGTTGAAGGCCACAGCAAGTGTTTTCTTCTTTTCACGCATTAGATTTTGCACAAATTCTGCTTCATATGAATATAAAAATAGGTCTGCTAATAACGGAGCGAAATTGGTACCCATGAGAATTCTAATAGATTGTTGGAAGACCTGGTCTCCAAAAACAACATAGATATTGTCAATCTGAAACTCAAGCATCTTTTTGATGTCAACCTCAGAGTACTTGTGTGTGCAATCAGAATTTGTTTTAACAAAATAATTTTGCAAATGATCAATGACCCGATAAGTAAATTTACGAATTCCATTTTTATTGAAAAAGCAGCTGTCAATGATATCAAAATGTCTGGACTTTTATTTATCGTGGGGAATGGTTGTGTAGTAAGTTGAAAAGTCGTAGGTTTTTAAGCTGTTGATTTTTGGAAAATTCTTGTGATTTCAAATTGTCCAAAAGTTCTTTGGATACTGTTTACATGAATTTCATCAAGGTAACTCCTCGTTTGTGGCAACATCAGCCTGAAAAAAAAGGGTATATTAATGATAAAAAAAAATGTTTTTAAAGAAGTGCCCTCACTGGCCGGAAAAAGGTTCATATACAGAATCATATACCTAGAAATCTAATTCAATGAATTCATACTTTCCTTTTATTTTTGTTTTTTTTACTAGAATTCAAATTCATTTACTCATACCTGAAACCAGTAGTGTAATAAATTATCACGCACTATGTTGTGTTTCCAGTGGTTTATCTTATAATATCGTGGGCATACTCTTTCATTAGTTTCAAGTTCTTTAACTTCTTTCTCTGTCAGGAAACAATCTTCATCCTTTTCCGTAATCCCCAGATCCTTACACGCATAACCAACTTCGTACAAAGCTTTCTGATGGAAGGTCGTGGCAAGTTGCTGAATCATGGTTTCTACATGTTTTCTGATCTCCCTGGTTTTGTCTGCCGTCAGCTCAATGTCGCAACCAGGCGTAAATACTTGAAGGTGAATAGATGTTTTGTTAACACCAATAGCAATGTTCCTATCCCCTCCCTTTTCTTTATAAAAAGTGAGATTTTTACAGAAAAGGTCATCACTTAAAGAGTCCCACACAGAAAAACATGTAACAACAAGTCTGTAAAAGAAGAAATGCGGGAGATACGTTTTGAAAGAAAAAATTAAAATTGGAGTCTTGTTTCCATTGCTGATGACTTCTTTGCACATTTTTGTAACGTCAGTTTTGTTTATACTAGGAATATAATAAACTGATTCTGTTTGATGTTCAGATGGAACCTTCTCATGTTTTTTTCTCTCGACCGCTTGCGTTCGAATTTTTGCAAGAATGCCAAGTTTTTCCATGTATGGCATAATTTTGTCTCTTTCGGAAATGTACGACTCCTTGTTGTTTTTTCTCCAAACTTTGTGAAGCGTTGAATCGGAAATTCTGCCGGTTTTCATGAATAGATCCCAATCCATAACTCTTCTGCAGAATGCGTGAACATGAAATGGATCCGTTATGATGTTTTTGAATGCATCAACAAACCACTGAACATCTAGTATGATATGTTCTCTAAGACCTTTGTCTGAGAAGTATATAATCTGACCAATCTCCTGGTAAAATCTTAGCATATCATCAATGTCGTTTTCACTCATTGACCTGAATTCATCCATAGATTTCAACTCCTCCATAGCCACAATTTTCTTCTTTTTATTTGATCGTACATAATGCTCAAATATTGACCACTGAACAGGAATTTTTTCACCCCAATGTGGTAGACTCTTTGCAGTTTGAACGATGCATTTTCTAATGTCTTCTATTGCCTTTGCTTGTTCTTCACGTAGACTACCCTTTGGACATTCAATTTCGAAATAACGCTCAGTTGAGATGTGGTCTTTTAACGTGTGTTCCTTTGGCAAGCAATTTTCGAGTTTGTCGTAGAAAGAATTGTAAGATTCCTCTTTAGAAGTTTTATGCTTTCTCTCATGTTTTCTCTTCTGAAATTAAGATAATGTGAAACATCACTATCGTTATCGTCATCATAACATATCATAACATATATATATTTACATTCATTTTAATTTTCTTTATGTTATTCATAAACAATGCACGACGTTCAAATCTCTATAACACACGCAAAATTGTGTCACTTCGCCTTGGAATGCTAGGATTTTACCAAGAGACTGGAGAAGAGGAAATTCCATGCAGTTTCAGTACTCTAAGAACACCAAAAAAAAAAGCACAATGTTTTATCTCAATTTTATAAAGAACTACGTTTGGATTATGCTTCCCGTTGGATAAACCTATGCTTTATCCACGGGTAGATGCTTTATCAATAGCACTTTTGGTTTTGACACGATCCCTCACTTCAAGATTTTTTTAATTTGAAACTTATTTGTAATAATCCTTGCCTTTATAAAATGAATGATAAAGAGCAATGATGGTAAAAGCAAAAAAAAAAAAAGAAAAAAAAAAAGAAGAAGAAGACTCGCATATGTCAAAGAAGGATATGGAAATAACGAACAGTATTCAATCTCAACGTCCATTAAACAATATACAAAATAAGAGCAGAGCAAACACGGACCTCCGAAACATCAAAGAAGTGTCTTAATTTATCAAGGTACCTGTATTGGCTACTTGAAGACGGATGTAACCCCCTTCCTTTTAAGGTAGGACACAATAGGTAGGCCAAATTTTTCCGCAAATTCAACTTTTCTGAAACTTTGATATTTTGTTCTAGGATACAAAATCTCTCTTTATATGTAATATTAAATAAATTCAAACACACATTTTTTGCCCACATAGTCTGAAATATGGCTTATCAGACCCCTGTAAGAAGATCGTGAAATCAGACATTCGACTTGAGAATAAGCCCTATTTTAGAATTATCAATTGACCTATTGCAAATTTGTGAAATACTTTTAAAAAAGATACCCATTTTGTTTCTTTAAATCAGTAAGTCATATTGATACTGGAAAATTTGAGTAAAATATTAAGTAAAAATAGAACATACATAGCGTCGGAATTGAACATTCGCATGTAAATATCCGACTCGTAAGTTTTCTTAAGAGAAAATGTATAGTTCAATTTTTACAAAAAAGCAACAGAATGATTGAAATGGGTCCTAGAATAAAATGTGTAAAAATAAAGAAAATTGAACCAGTGGTTTAAGATATTTTGGCGATTAAAAAACATTCAAGGGCCAAAAAACTTAAAGATTTAGTAGAAGACATCACAATATTTGACCTCTTGATGTGACCTTGACCTTTGCAGTACATAAAGAATGGCAACTCCTTATATATGTGTCCAAATATCAGCCTATTACTATTCATGGAACAAAAGTTACACTGCATTTTATAACAGACTGTAACATGCTTGTTTATTGAACTTTGATAGCGTAAACACATTCCAAAATGTAAGCTCCCAAGTGACCCATATATAGAATTCTCTGAATTTTTAACAAAATATGACACAAACATGCCAGAACTTATTATTTTTCTTACAGGGCTCATTCATTGTTGTCAATATAGGAATAATATCCTTTTCCCCCGTACTTTTAAAGAAATTGATTAAAATAGAATCCACGGGTGTTTTGTCCTACCTTAATCATTTTCGGAAAAAGAAAAAGCTTAGCAGTTAAGTTGTTGTTATAAGATTCCTTTAACATCTTCAACAATGCTTTCTTATATTACTGTATACTAAGTATGCCTACCTTGTAATGTAGGTGTAACTTACCACGGATCAACAATGAATCTACAAGTAGCCTTGCGTAGCACGGATTTAATTGCTACCGTACAAAGAGTTAATTTTCACCATCACTTGGTCCTTACAACTTTCAGTCAGAAGTTCGCTTAATGAAAAGCTCCAGCAATTGTCACATAATGTTTTCAAAGACGTAAATGGCAAGATTTCTAAATTTTAAACACGTTCTACTTTCTTCCGAGGCATGTCAACACCAACAGCGCTACGTCATCAAGTTATACATCACTAAATTGAATTAGAAATCATTCATGTAGTTCCACAAGGGAAGTCTCAAAATTTTGTTAAAACAAAAGTAGTTTGAGATAAATAGAACATCAATAATTGTGTGATTTGATATTGGCTTTATCTAACACGTTGAAATGGTATATATGCTCGACTAAATTCACACTAAATATACATTTGTAAGCATTGAATTCACATTTGGCAATGTGTTCGGTCCGCAACACAATTAAGGTTACAAAAAGGGATCGGAACCTATTTTTGTACGGGAAAAATTAACTATGACATCATACAAAACTAACAATTCTTAAAAATACCACAAAATGAGGTGATTTGCTATAGGAAACTATCAAAACGTACTACAGCATGCGGTTTTGTTGCTAGTTAAATTTCACATAACAAGTTATAAACAAGTCACTGATCGCAATGCACTTGTTGATGTGACGTCATTACGTAAATCCTGATGCAGTTTGTATGCAGTGAGAGGCAAATCAAGTAATATTTTCTCAACGAAAAATCTATTCTATATTAAGAAAAAATATTATTTACAGATATTTATTGGCCATTAACTTGGATTCAACGTCTTTTGCAAGGTTTTATTCATATATTTTCCTATTTAATTGGTACTGCCGTATATTTATATGCAAGTACATCAGAGGGTTATTTGAGTTTCTTAATAAATCGGTCTAGTGCAAGGGCATACACTCAATGGATCATAATAATAAGTGTTTACAAGTTAAATCAAGTCTAGAAGTTTAAATATATCTGAAAAGTGCTGCGATTCTGATGAAATCTTGAAAATAATTTAATTATACACGTATGAATATTTCATTCCGCTGACCAGCAAAATATACAGCATTTGGTCATACAAATATTATTTCAACAAGGAAATTTCGGAATCTATATAGGATCGCAACACTTTCCAGAACCTACAATGCGTGTTAAAAATGTTTATAAAGTAAACTTAGAATTTTAACTTGGTTATGCCATTGCACTAGTGAGATTTATAGATGACCTCAATACTGCAAGAAAATGGGCTAAAATCACTTGACTGCCGCATCACGTGACAAGTCTAGATATAAAATCTAACAGTCTTCATTATATGTAATTATTAACCATAATTACAGTTATCCGATACATGTGCATAAATAATGTACTAAAATAATCCCCATCCTGATTATGAATACATTTTTATTCACAAGTAATTGTCGATATTTCGATTGCGCACCTTAACTGTACTGCGTCCAATAAGACATCTGGCCGTGCCGACAAATTATCATACCGCGCTTTATCCTATTTGTCGGCACGACCAGGTGTGCTATAGAACCGAAGACATCCCAAAATATGAATTGAATGCTTAATTAAATATCAAGGTTACTTTAATTTCTGATGATCGGTCAACATTATATAAAAGTTGTACACAATCTTAAAGGCAACTCATGTGGAAAATAAATGTTTAACTAGTGTATCCCTTTTGGTTTCCTTGATGAATATCCCCTCACAACGGATCTCTCAATTGATTCGATACGCAAGAGCATGTTCTACGTATAGAGAATTTCTAAAACGATGTCCGTTATTGACAAAGAAGTTGATGAAGCAAGATTATTAGCAGTCTCATTTAAAGCCATCATTTTGTAAGTTCCAGGGTCGATACAATGCATCTTAGTCATATGCTGACTGACTTTTTTTTCATACTAATTGGTATGCCAATAGTTACACATTATTTTGTCCACGAATTTTTCCGATTTTTTCTGCAAACAAGACAAGGAGGAAACGGTGTATGTGACCGGTCGGCAGGGGAGCTCAGTCTTCCATGACACCTGATCCCATCTCTTATCTTTTGGAGGTTTGTGTTTGCTCTGCTCCCATTTTGTTATGTTTAATCGACTTTTGAGCTGAAACTCTATTCGTTATCTCAACATATTTCATCATCTTGCTTTCAGGAAATAAGGTAAAACATTGAGTTTGTTTTTAATACTAGTATTTAGTTTCACCTTTAATCGGTCGTGATGAGAGGCTATAAGGATGACGGGATTTGGCCCAGCTTTGTCTCCGTACTTTTCCTCCATCTTCTCATCATCACAATACGTCTTAATGGATCGAAGCCAGAACACAAAATAATCTGTAAATAGAGAAAGAATAATCTGCAGTTTTTGGAAAAAAATAACCATAAAAAATAAATTTACTCATCGTCTAGTACATTAGTCTGGGTTATTTTTTTTCCTGGAAGATAGGAATTTGATACTTTAGAATAAGGGCTGGAATCTTAATTTTTTTTTATTTGGCCTAGAGCAAGAGATATATAGCTAAGGGTGTTCAAAAAGTATGAAATCGCTTGCTCACTGCGTGTAAATACCGGAAAATGCTAAAATACGCTTTAGAAATCCATTTTGTAATCGTAATTAGATATATACACATGTTTTCAACTTAAAAATGTTCCTTAAAAATTATGTGTTACACAAAGAAAAATTCTCGAAATACTATAGCTAGTAATTCGTTTCACAAAACTTTAGTCGGTAAAAGAGTTTTAAAGCTAATGTTCTTTGTTATGTGTATGTAGTTCGACTATAAATAAAATTTACTACTTACAACTACTACTTGGAATTGAAACCCCCCTCCTGAAAGTAACAGTAATCTAGACATAACGAACAGTAATCAATCTGAATAAAATATCCACAAATATGTGAATATTGCATAAAACCAGGCCCCCTTAAGTGGAATGAGGTGTGTAGTCATCTTAAAACGACGGACACATCCACCTAGATTCCTTAGTATTGATCATAACATATCACAGAAATAAGGATTAAATTTAACTTTACCCTCAACAGCGAGGGATATGAGGGTTATTTTTTTTTTTTAAATATAACTGAAGTTCTTTCTTGCAAATAAAATTCCATTGGATTAACATCTCTTTTAATGCGAGTAATTTCTCGAACCTTCGTATGTCCAGTTTTCAAACAAAGATCCCATCGGGTCATGGCGATCTTTTTGGTAGGCAACACCCTTTAAGTCCTTGGACATGTCGACGACCAGTATGTAGAAAGCTCTTCTAGAGAGGTAAATCTGATGACAGGCATAGTAGGCGACTTGTCCAGCAAAGTCCGTCATACTTAAGAGTTTCCTGTCCACGTGCAAATTGACGGGAGGATTTTCCATGCTGCTTTCATGCTGAGCATCATCGGGGCTGTAATCTTAATATACAATACATCAAGTTAATTTAATATCATAATTGTATTATAAAAATTGACCTACTAATTTAAAATTCCATTCCATTTTAATTACTCAGAAAGCAGCCTAATTACTACAAAAGACCTAATGCAAGATGTTTTACCTTCACATGTATCCTACCTAATAAGACTAAATGTAAGATTAGATTACCTTCAATTGTGTCTGAGTCAATCAGGAATATATTATCATGAACTTCAAGCCCTATTGTGCTTGTTGTTTCTTTTTTAAGATCCTTTCTGTTTCGGCGTTGTAAACGTCTGAGCAGAGTTGTCTTTCCTGCCCCTGCACATCCTACGATCATTCCACGAGCTCGATACATTTCAATGTTACCGTCTTTAAAATGTTTAACAAATCTTTGCCTTTGAGCAAGGTTCCATGACATCACTTCCTCTGGAACATGCACTAAAACGTGTGAAAATACAAAGAATTAGAATTTTTAGAGTCATTCGTTTAGAACCAATTTATGATTTCTCTCTTTGTGCTATCCATTTCAAGATTCGTGTACGTATTTTGATTTTGATTATATAGTTATAACCTCTGTATTTACACATACACTTGTTACTAATATCTGTATGGATTTTTGTATCACTCATAGTTTTATGAGTTAGAATATCTATATCCATTCTTTTGATTAGATCTGCGTTATACTCTGAAGGGACACAAATACACAATTCCTTTTCCTGGGGTTCATATCCCGATGTTCTGAAATACTTCCCTAAACAGTCAGGAGCTTTGTCTCCAGCAATAAACGTGTAATATATGGCACACTGTGCAAAGGTGCTCTGTCTTTGATTGAATATATCTGAAGATTAAATAACAACATTGTATTTAATATCAACCCGAGAAAAACGTTCTATTTAGCTTATACAGTGTGTTGAGGAAAGAGTATTATAAAGGGTCATGACATCTTATATTAAATTGAATCTGGATGAAATACATGAAGATATCAAACCGTATTCAAGCTCAAACGTTCATAAAACAAAAAAAAATAGTAGCAGAGTAAACAAGTCATTAATAATCAATTCATTTTTTGCAAAAGTGACAGATAAAGAATTGAAGAGCAATTCATTTGTGAAGAAAACCAAACAAATTGCTTTGCTCTTTAATTGACAGGACTCCAGCTGCAAATATACAAGCTTTAAACGATATAACTCACATCCTTCTTTTTTCATTTCCAGGAGCTCTAATCTGTGTTCTTGAGACATCTGCCCTACTCCAGAGTCTTCAATAAATTGCTGAATCAGAAATTCCCTGAAGTCGTCACATAACATATCAGGTAGGAAAACACAGGTCTCCTCATTTTGTATTTCATAATCAGGTGTTCTCAGATATTTAAGAACAATGTCTCTTTTTTCATGCTCAAACAACCAAGCAATTGTTCCTTTTGAATTGTGATTTTGCATGAGAGCCCACATTGTTTGCAATTCTATTTCTTCGTTTACAAAATATATTCCTTTTTCATCGACTAGTAAACTTGAGCCAGATAATGTATTAGCAGCATCCTTATAATCATTGATTGTTATTTGTTGCATGTGTTTCATTAGTTTTCTGATGTCATCTAGTAATTCTAGGTGAGCCTTGTTATTCCATTTTATCCTCTGGCCTTCACTTAAAAGGACACCGAAGAGCAAAAGACGGCGGATATCGTCATCTTCAAAATGGCTGAATGTGTCTGAAATTGACATTAAGGACTTTCACATGCCTGTGCAACTTAAGAATCATATGAAAATAAAAACATAGAAATTTCATTTCTTTTGAAATTGAAATAATAAAATGAAAGTTTTGATCTATTTAAAATGTACTTTTGGCTTTTGAAATAAACGTGTCTAAAAACTTACCAAGTGTACACTTTTTCGTGGAGGCTTCACACTTTGTTATCACAAGGTGATAAGTTCTGTCTTTGGAGAAAATTGTGTTTTTCATTTTGTCAACCCTTTGTGATAAGGTCTTGTCTTTTTCAACTTTGATGTTTGGTCCGGTGAGTCTAAGAGCTTCTAAATCTACGGAAAATATATACGTAAAAATAACAAATAGAAACAACGTTCCAACACCCAGTGTGTACGTGTTCTGAAAACAGTATTCCTAAATCTGAAGAATATTACATTATCTACCTACATTATCTTACATCTTGAACTCAGTTCCTCTGAAAGCTAATATCTGAAGTATTTTTTGATACATAACGAGGCCTTATCTAGTTAAAATTATAAAAGGCAAAAAAGAACTTTTCTTTTCAGTTCTCAGAATATAAACTAAGCAAATATCATGTAATTCAAAGGATAAAAAATAGCATTTGCCGTGAATATAAGAATTAATTTTCGTTCAGTATTGGTTAATCAAATATAAATAAGTATGTTCAATTTGCATTCATGTAAAAGGAGAAAATCGTGTTCTGGTTTAAAAACTGTAACTTACGAATTTTGACCTCGGAGCTTCCACACTTTAACGTAACACCATCTTCGACTTCCGTCCATGAGGCTTTGTATGAACCAGAGTCACTCAGATCAGATTCCAAAATGTACAGAAAGAAATGTTTATCATCTTCGTCTTTTCCTATCACAGAGAGGTATTTGTTTGGATTATCAGAATATTTTATTGTCTTCCCGTCTTTAAACCACGTGACTTCTGACGGTGGATGATTTGTAGTCACACGTATACATATGTCATTACCATACTGTCTCAACATATCTACTAACAATGAAGAAGTGTAAAAATAAAGCCTGTATAGTATATGAAAAATATTTTACAAAATGTCAACGCCAAACAATGGCATAGACAATGTGCTGCTAAACACGGTTCGACTTTTATTTCGTTCTTTTTTAAAAGGTGATACTTTTGCATTCATTCGTAAAATAATAGTTAGCAAATTTTGCATAATTGTGAAAGTAAGATATTGTCAGCGGAACAAAGAAAGGTTGATGTGAAACGTGTTCTATTTGGATACGATGTAACATTTTCCACAAAAGAGACTGGGTATATATCGAATAGAATCATAAAACACTTCTATTAGCAAACAAACATATACTTTTCAAAATTTCTAAGTCCCACTTTTATATTTTCAAAAAAATTAAAAACCTTAACATCAATTTACTAGTTGCTTACAATTATTTTGCCTTTGACTTGCAATACTAACCTGTCAAGGCCAAAAAATTGTAATCGAATGTGTAATTACTCTACTGTGACCGTTTTTGGTAAAAAGCATGAAGTTCAAATTCCATATGTTTTTTCGGGCGTATTCTTCATTTTTGTACTTCCATGTGTTCTCCATCTTTATTTAATTGACGAAAAACAGAAAAAGGCTTGATTAAAATGCAGTGTAAATCCACACAACAATGTGCAAATGAAGTTGAAATGGCCCATGCTGGTCGTAGTTAACGGGAGTTCTGTTTCCTTTCACTGTATGTCTTTATTTCAATAAAAACCTTTATAACTACCTCCCGAAAGACCTACAAAGCACATCTGAATTCCTTTTACTCATTAGAAATTGCTAGATTTTTAACAAACACCACAAAATCTTCCTAGAGTTTATCCGAGAAAAATCAATGGAACCGGAACTGGAAGTGCCCTCCCCTCAATGTGAGGAGTGGGGAATACATGTAATTGGAAGTTATGTTACTACAGTCGGCAAGGCACAGGCATTTCCAGTAAGCCCCCCTTGTCATCCTAATCACAACCCTAACTAACATGTATGGAAGAAGATAGACCGGAGTGTGAGGCAGATTTTCCAGCAACAGAATTAAAGGACAACCTAGTCTCCACATGAAACCACATTCAATAAAAATAATTTTCCTTAGATAGTGAGAACTCTTATAAGAGCGGTTATCTTGCTGTGAAATCGTTTGAATGAAGGGTAATGCAATATTTAACATTGTGAATTTTTAATTCTAGGGTGCCTTAACGTTTCTGCATATTTTGTTAAAGCGCTCCAATAAAATAAATTAAGTGAGAAAAATTGTTTTGCTACTTTTTTATCCTATATACTAACCATTTAATACCTATAAAAATACATTAACTCTAAAGGAACTGTTATTGTTTTTTCTTTTACAGCAGAACTGTACACTTACCTGGCTGTTTTTGCCATGATACATCTGAAAACATAGAAACCAAAAGTAGCCTTCATCCGAAGTAAAAAGATGATTTAAAAATGCATTGTCTTAAGTACTGCCTTTCTCACGTTCTTTCTTCTAACCTCTCTTGTGCTCTACATCTCCCTCTTTCCAAATAGCCGTGTAAACCCCAGAATCCAAATTTGTTGTGTTGTAAACATTCAAATGTATGTGTCTGTCTTTAACATGTCTGTGGCTGATAGAAATATATTTCTCCGAGTCTGAAGTCTGTATGTCCTGTCCGTCTTTCTGCCACCTGACAGTATCATCATCTAGAATGCGATGTATGCTGAATCGAATATGCAAATTTCCTCCTTCCTCTTGCACTGAAAAGGTTGTATAATTGTAGTCCACTCTTAGTCCATTATTTACACACTGAATTGACAGCAGACCTTTTTCGTTATTTCCCGATCGTGACAAATAGCACTACGGGTATGACCGATGTGTAGGAGATGCTCACTCCTCCATGACACCTGATCCCATCTCTGATGTTTTTGAGGTTTGTGTTTGCTCTGCTCCTATTTTGTTTTGTTTTCTGGACTTTTGATCTTGAATACTGTTCGTTATCTCCATATGTTTCATCAAGGAACTTGAACGTAAAATCAAAAGTTTAAATTTTAGTGAGTTGCTAGTTGATTAAAATGTATAATACTGGACCATGCAATGCATATCTTTTCGTCGCGACGAAGTTGTAAATAAAAATATTTATTGGATTTACTATTAATATGGCAAATACAAATATTCATTTGCAATATTTCAATTTTCAATTTCTTACCTTCAACATCAGAACGCCGCCTATGATGAGTTGGCCAATGCGCCTCTGAATTAGGATACACTTTAAATCAAAATGAAATTTGCAATTATTTTTCAAAAAACTCATTAACTTGTATGGCTGAATTTTACCTATTAGACTGCGTTGTAGTTATTTGACTATCAAAATTTTGCATAAGACTAATCAATATTAAGACTGGTCGATAACAGGAATAATAATGTTGAAGTCAGAGCGAAAGGTCACCAAACATACCCGAATATCACTATATCAAAACTAGTACCAAATATAAGAATGTTATATTTTGATAAAACATTATCTTTACTGTACAGTATAAATATATATATATTTTGATATAGTTTACAGAAGTGTAGTCCTCGTTTAACAAAATACGGGGCATGTATGTGTCAGGAGCTTACATGTGTATTTAACACTCATAAAGGCAATAAAAATAAATCATAAACTAAAAATCATTCATTTAACACACGCATATATCTTACATTAAATCATAAATGGGGTCATGATAAGATTGCAATACATATAACTAAAATCCATCCTCCTTATTTTGCATACTTTATGAATGGAAAAGCTGATTATTTGAACATCTTTAAAATATCAACAAATAATACAAATATATCAAGAGGACATGAACATTGTCCCACAGAAAATCCAAAGGCGGGATCAGGAGCAAAGGAGGAATACTGTAAGACATTTACAACACATGCAGCTAGGTAATGCAGATGAAAAAATAAGTGCTTAGAATTGAATTGAATAAATCGATATAACAGTTCTTTAAAAAAGTCTCTTGACTAGATTTTGAAAAGCAAAAGCCTATTAAGTTCCTGAAAAAGAATTTGTACTGGCTAATTTTAAATGCCAATTTAAGCAAAATATAAACTCTTAGAATACGATCAAAATATATGATATTCCCACAAAACAGTGTAAACATTTATTATCATTATTCCAATGTATTGACTCAAATAAATGAATAAAACATTAGTAGAAGTTAGTTATTTTATTTATCAAGATTCATTGCCAAAAAAAAAGAACCCTTAACCAACTTACAGTATTTTTAGTTCCAAAACAACTGTAGGCTGTTGGAACCTAAACTTAACCTCTATTTCAGTAGGAAATCATCAAATTCAAACAGATAAATATTATACAATTATGGACTATTTTGGTGTTGAATATGGTTTGTTATTCACCAGAAAAATATTCATATTGACCGAGGCAAAGCAACATCAAACATCAACATCAAAAGAGTCCATAATTGTTTTATTATATAGTCCGAATTTGAATAAATAAGACATTGAAGGCTGAATGACGACACCATTTTCATTAACTAACTTCCGTCGTTTTTTTTTTTAATAAAAAAAATCCAGATTACAGTTTGTCACCTCCGTGTTTTCCATTTTGAGTTTCTCTGTGTTAGATGTCCAAACGTTTTAAAATAATCCTGCAATAGGTTTGTATAATATTTTTCCTGCTCAGATACGTAGCTCGCTGCGGCCGTTGCAGCCTTTGTTTACAACGTTGTTTGAGGTGTTGATTGTGACGTCACAATGCCGCTGCACGCGCAATGACCCTCCGGTGAATACGGCCTCAAATCCGGTGAATATGTAGTGTTATGAACTGTTTGCACTTGTATAGATAATATAGGGAATATAAATAGACTATACAATAAACATGTATAATGACTATATTTAAGTACATGACGCTGCAAGTCCATTGCTCTGTGCTCACTGTTAATTAAATTTAACTGAAAATATGAAAGTCTAAAATAAAAATTTTACCCGAGGGTTGTTTATTTTAGAATTATTATAAGGTTGAGCTCGAGATATATAAGATATCATAAATCATTGAAATAAATAGATCTTAAAATTTAACAAATAAAATGCAAAAATGTTTAAAGACATGACAGAAGAAAATCTAAAAAAAAAATATGTAAAGAAATATCTACCTTGAAGCAAATGGGTTTCTTCGCCAGAACCGGACTCTATTTTACTTCCAGAGAATCGTCGCCGCCTTTTGTAGTATACAAATAACAGGACAGATACAATAATGGCAGCAACAACCACCGGACATAGGACTATAACCACCAGCAGACCCCCGGACATACTGTGTTCATCGTCGGAGATTGGAGGGACTCCAGATGAGGTGGAGGTGTTGAATAGGATGAACGATACGAAGGATGTATTTGTTGCTTTTTCAAAAGGAGTCGTTGAAATCACCGAGGAGGTCCTCGATTAAAAACATGGAAAATAATGCAATTCCATGAATTCACAGGAATCATTGTATTCTGTACACATACTTCACAAATTACAGAAATAAAATTGGAATACACTAAATACCTCTTTATACAGCTTGGATCGGCAAGAAAACAACGTTGTATGTTGTCTATCTGTTGGCATCGCGGATCTGTTCAGGAAACAAAAAGGTTAGTTTTCAAACTGTCATTGACACATTTTATTTATTGGATCAATTCTTTCATTTAAAATTCTTTCTTTTTACTACAATGCTAACATTTTATTTATTGTCGACAAAAAGCTGTTTATCTTCATTTTTTCTTTAAACTACCTTTAAGTCTATTTAAGGTATATCCTAGTTTCATAAAAAAAATCAAAACTCCTTCTGGTCAATACAACCAAATATATACATTTGTGGTATCTTTCCATTACATAAACATACATAGAGAAAATATCTTCAATTCTGTATGAAGTTTGTCAGAATTCAGAGGTCAATATATGGCCGAATCACATGGCGCAATAATATCTACCGTTATACTTATAAATATAAAATGACTTGCTTTTCAATAGTTTTCATGTATAACAAGAGGCCCATGGGCCTTATAGGTCACCTGAGCATTATGCAACAACTTTCCAGTGATTAAATTTAATTCATCATAACAATACACTTAGCAGTTGCTTAGTTTGTTTACTCAATACCCATACACAAGGTAGGGGAACAAAAAATGCATTTCAACTAATCAGTTATATTCAGCAATAATCAGTAGTGCCCCTACTATACATGAACCCCTGACCCTTAGGCCTTGATATTTGATTAATACCAAGGAGCAGATTTTAAACCATTCATTCATTTTCAGTATATAAGTACACCCCCCCCATATTACCCCTGACCCTGGGGCCTTGAAATTCACAATTCTGGAAGATTAGGGCCCTTGTAGATAATAACTATATAGGTAGTTCATCTGCTTAATACCCTAGAGCAGAGAAGAAAATTTTTAAAGATTTAATGAATTTTCACTATATAATCTATAGAGCCCTGCCCTAACACCAAAACCCCTGACCCTGGGGCCATAAAATTCATAATTTTGGAAGAGGCACTCTTGCTCATCATAATTATGCACTTAGTTAGTTTATTTAATAGCCAGGAGCAATGAAGAAGATTTTCAAAGAATTCCTGTATTTTCACTATATAATCAATAGAGCCCCACCCTAACACCAGAACCCCTGACCCTGGGGCCATAAAATTCACAATTTTGGTTGAGGCACTCTTGTTCATCATAACTATGCACTTAGTTAGTTTATTTAATACCCAGGAGCACAGAAGAAGATTTTCAAAGAATTCATGTATTTTAACTAAATAATCTATCGAGCCCCCCCCCCCCCCCAGCACTAGAACCCCTGACCCTGGGGCCATAAAATTCACAATTTTGGTAGAGACACTCTTGCTCATTATAACTATGCACTTAGTTTATTTAATACCCAGGAGCAGAGAAGATTTTCAAAGAATTCATGTATTTTCACTATATAATCAATAGAGCCCCCCCCCCCCTAATACCAGAACCCCTAATCCTGGGGCCATAAAATTCACAATATTGGTAAAGGCACTCTTGCTCACCATAACTAGGCACTTAGTTAGCTTATTTAATACCCAGGAGCAGAGAAGAAGATTTTCAAAGAATTCATGTATTTTCACTATATAATCAATAGAGCCCCACCCTAACACCAGAACCCCTGACCCTGGGGCCATAAAATTCACAATTTTGGTAGAGGCACTCTTGCTCATCATAATTATATACTTAGTTAGTTTATTTAATACCCAGGAGCAGAGAAGAAGATTTTCAAAGAATTCATGTATTTTCACTATATAATCAATAGAGCCCCACCCTAACACCAGAACCCCTGACCCTGGGGCCATAAAATTCACAATTTTGGTAGAGGCACTCTTGCTCATCATAACTATGTACTTAGTTAGTTTATTTAATACCCAGGAGCAGAGAAGAAGATTTTCAAAGAAATAATGCATTTTCACTATATAATCAATAGAGCCCCACCCTAACACCAGAACCCCTGACCCTGGGGCCATAAAATTCACAATTTTGGTAGAGGCACTCTTGCTCATCATAACTATGTACTTAGTTAGTTTATTTAATACCCAGGAGCAGAGAAGAAGATTTTCAAAGAAATAATGCATTTTCACTACCTACTTATTTAGCCCCGCCCTAGCACTAGAACCCCTGACCCCAGGGCCATGAATTTCACAATTTTGGTAGAGGACTCATTGCTGATTACAATCATGCAACCAGTTTGACTGCTTGATGCCCAGGAGTAAAGAAGAAGATTTTTAAAGATTGCATTAATTTTAGTGGTTTTGGCCCCACCCCTCAGGCCCCTGGGGGGCAGGGATCATGAAATTCACAATTTTTGTTCCCCTTCACCCATAGATGCTTTGTGCCAAATTTGGTTGAAATTGGTTCAGTGGTTGCAGAGAAGAAGCTGAAAATGTTCAAATGTTAACGCACAACGCACGACGCACGACGCACGACGACGGACGAAAACGGATAGCAATAGGTCACCTGAGTTTACTCAGGTGACCTAAAAATGAACAAAATATTAAAGCAAGTGAAATAATTGTTTTATTTACAACGTAAACAAGTACTTCATACATTATTGGTCATCGATTTCATTTAACCTGTGTATATAGAGAATATACCGATAGAAACTAGCCTTTGTTTACAAATTGTACGTCACTTTTGTCAGCTGCACAGTCTCTAACTTTTATCCTAGCATCGTAGATCTTAAGCTAATTCTTCATGATATAGGCTAAAACTATATTTTTCCATTAAATTCTCCTCACGATAAATGTGTAAATCTATTGGAAATCAAAGCGATGCAATCACGCAACGAACCGCTGAGAAACACCTCGATCGGCGCTGCCGTACTACAATGTAAGCTCTCGCCAGTGTCTCCGTATTAACACAATAAATATGCCTTTAGTTACTGAAATCGTAGATTAAATGTTTTTGATCAAATTAAATACCTGATTTGCAAATTAACCGTTTCGGACAAGTGTCTCAATCCATCGGATCCATCCATCCCTTTCAGGCGACCGAGATTCCTCCAACTTTTTAATCATCAATCCTCGGACGTGGGTCTTGTATCTTTTTCGCATTAATTATCAATTTTCACAAATAAGAATAATCCCGAACAAAAATCTGTTCACTATTACTGATCACAAGTAGCCTTTAACAAAGTATTCCCTTCGAAATAGAATTCTTAGCCTGTCACGAATTCGAAACGTAACGGCCTTTCAAGCCGATTTACAATTTGCGTACTTTTGAAGGAAATCTACGGCGAACGGTTAGTGCAATATTTATGCTAATATATCGAATTTGATATTTAATTGTCCGTCTCAAATGTATATATAAGTAATAAATAATAACAAATTTATAAACTTCAATGGGAATTGAAGTGGTCGGTACGTGATCAAATCTTCTGAGAAGGCCTTCGGCCTTCACGGGATTTGATCACGTGACCGACCCACTTCAATTCCCATTGAAGTTTATAAACTTGTTATTTATTTCTTAATTGAAGTAAATTTAGCCACACAACCTTACATTGATAAATGTTGTTACTAAGATATGGTAGGTCTGGGCAACCCTCAACAAAGAAACTGCAATTCTCCTGATTCAGGTAGCTAGAAGTCGATAGGTGTAAACAGTATCCTAGAATTAACTCAAAATTATTACATGTATAACAATTAAAAAATAAATATCTTTATGGGTGTATTTAAAAAATATGAAAGAAAAAAATCTTGCCATTTAGTACAAGTCCCAGGAATTTGTCGTAGCAGAACTCCAGTAATACTGTCTTTTCCTGATTAGGAACACAGAAATAAGATGGATGGTTATTCCGGTCCGTGGGACATTTTAACCTAGCGGAAGCCGAATCTCGGGCCTGGAGTGTTGATGGGCAGGAACTTACAATGGCCACGGGGAAGCGATAGGAGACATTCATCTTGATCTGAATATGTTCAACAGAAGGATGATATATATGTACAAGTCGCAAAGGCATAGGGAAACTATAGGATAAATTCACCTTGATCTACAAGTGGAATATATACTATACAAATCCAAAGTCAAGAACTAACAGATCTGCCTGCAGTAGATACAGTCCTTAGTGGTGGGCTTGTGAAGAAAAGAAGGACACTTTTAATGATTTTAATCTTATTCTGTATGATTATAATGATTATTTATGTTTCTATTATATGCAGCTAACCCATTCTTTTTGTTAAAGTATTTACCCATTACATATATTTTTGTTAAAGTATTTAAACATAGATAATTACCATTTTGCTGTTGCAGATCAGAAACACAAGAGCAGCAAACACCTTCAGCACCATGGTAACAAATAAGCATTATTCAATGTGTTGGCAGTAAGTCTTCAATTAGCAAAAATCCTGCCCAGTGCTGTTAATCGAGTCGATCAAGGAAAACAATATAAAAGATGAATCATTTCACACAAAAATAAGCATCTTCTAGGCACAAAAAATAGAACTTTGAGTTTTCAAAGATTAAACATAAAAGAAAACAAACCAATTCTTCGTAAAATGTCTCTTTTTTTCTCCTGTTGTGAATCTTTTATTCAAAACGAAAGTGGACAAATAGACAAATAACTACCATAACAGATAAATGTAAGTTAAGAAAATAACATATCCAAACAGGAAATAATCCGTTTTTTTCACATTACTATCACTAACCTGTCTCAAAATATCTAAAAGGAATAAATAATGTATCCTATGTTTAGCCATAATCAATGGATACGTAGATGTACGGCCTTTGTTTATATATATTTTCTATCCGCCATTACCCTTTAGGTGACAAGTCGATACATTCAATTTGTTAGATTGTACAGATATATTATTAATAATCGATATTGCCTGAAGTATTCAGTGCAGTCAAGCAGGGTATTTAATAATGATTAATTCATTTATATTCTAATGAAACAAATAAAGAGGAAGGATATGTATAGATTATCACATATTTTTTTATCGCTAAAAAAGTAAAATAAAAAGATACTTGACTAGTTCTATTTTGATTAACTGATATTTAAGTAGATAACGCAATATAAAGAGTTCGACATGATTTATATTTCAGGTGTGGGACAGTTTATTTTAAGGTCTGTTTTTAAGTTTTGTGTGAGTTATTGGTGTGCAAATCACACAGACTTGTCACGTAGGCATATTTCATGAAGCGAGCTCCTTTAACTTTTTTTTTCAAATGAAATATCTAAATAAGAAATAAATGTGTCAGATTAAGCTGTATCTTTTATTTTAAGCTCACTTGGAGGTAGTATATCGACATAAGAATATAAATAGCCATTGTTAATTGACAAAACGTCTCTGATATATCTAAATATCAAGCAACTTTTCTTACTATGTAAAATCCCAAAACCAACTTTGGTATCATTAAAAAAGTAATGAAATTTTGAAATAACAAAATTTAACCAAAATTTAACCAAAAAATTACAAAATATTACCAAATTCCTCACGGCTTTTTGATATCATTGAAAGCTGCTTTTTTCACAAAGAACTCGTAAATTAACTTACCTTGCCATTGGTCATTTGCAAATTGAGTTTCCTATTGACAACATCTATGTATTTTTTAAAAGGACACAATGAGACAAAATCATGTATTTCTTTTAAGATATCTGTAGCATACAGAGAAAGAACTATGGAAATTAGTTCAATTAGACTGCACAATAAAAAACGACAATGGTAATCTTACAACAGGAATATATGATGAACCTGATGATTTTTACTTTTCAATCGTCAACTATCCTTACTAATGCGATGCATATATCTGGGCAAAAAAGAGGTACACAATGCATGTCGGGAAATTGGTTTTGGGCAAGAAGGTCATTTTGTTCTGACATTAAGACATTTGCCAATCCCATTGTACTGGAAAATATGGCGTTTTACATATACTAATACCGATTAGGCAAATGTTCAATTCACAAAGAAGAATTTTTAGTGGTGCGTTAGCAATTTTATCTAGTGTATAGCTAAGATATAACAATTAAACTGCAAGAAAAGACTGCACAATAAAAAACGACAATGGTAATCTTACAACAGGAATATATGATGAACCTGATGATTTTTACTTTTCAATCGTCAACTATCCCTACTAATGCAGAACATCTACTCGTAACTATATCACTTGCGTTATACGATTTGTAAAAGGAAAAAGAATTACGTGTCTGCCATTTTTGTTCGCGATTCTCGCTTCTCTGCAAACCCGTATATAAAGGGCAGGAGTTAATCACTGTTCAGTGTAATCAGTCGACACCGGTGTAGACGGACGTATGCTACACAGGACTCAGTAGCGAGAATAATAACGTAATACGTCGTCTAATGCAGCAAAGTAAAATACCAAATAATTTAACAATTATAGTTGTACAAGTCAGTGCAGTATACAAACAACACAGATACACATAACTGCAATAAACTGTAAACAAAGGGAATGCAAGATAACCAGCACGAACACGGGTCGCCATTCCACGCCGATACCCATGGCAATAAAGCAGTCAGATGTAACGAATGCGACGAGTATACCCTAGTGTTAATGTATCGTAGATAATGCTATCGAAAATGGCGAGTCATGTTCAGCTTTAATATCTCTCAGTTGATTCTGCTCTACGTATAAACACTTTCTGAACGAGATAAGTTAATGCAAATTTGCTGATGAAACAAGAATTCTAATACTCTTGTTAAAAATAATCACTTCGGAAGTTCTATGGTGGATTCAATGATTTTGTCAACAAATACAAATTATCATTAAATCGAATTTTGATGTCGTTTTTTAATTCTAATGGTTAGACCATTATTTTGCACACTGAATTGTCGACGGATTTCTTCCGTTATTCCCCATTATGACAAGGAGCACAAGGCGGATGTGACCGTTCGACAGAGGATGTTCACTCCTTCATTGCACCTGATCTCAGATCTGATGTTTTGCTCTGTTCCTATTTTGTAGTGTTATATGGACTGTTGATCTTGAATACTATTTGTTAATTCCATATGTTTCATTTCATTGCAAATATTTCTCTTTTTTGTAAGCAAAAACGAGACAAACAGCTATCTGCAATCAAACGTTTCAGTTCTTTTCTCTTATTTTGTTCTAAAAAAAGAAAATAAACCCTGAAAAAGTCAGTTTCTGTTGATTTATTGAACAAAGTGAGATGTACACGTCAATTTTATCTTTTTTCATTTCTTTCCGATTCAAATTCCAATACACCATTTTGCGTTTACATGGACCAAATACGCCATCTTTTTGAAGACCTGGTGCACTCTTTCGAAATTCTGCATGCACAATTTCACCATTTAATATTAAAATTATTAAATAATATTTAAAAGTATGAGATTAAAACTTGTATGATAAATGAATAACACTCCAGAAACTATTCTGTAAAATTTGAGCTTTTTGAATATTATAAACTTCTTTTGATATTCGGAAAAGGAAATTGATCTAATAAATACAAGGGGTCAAAGTATTTCCAATCTTTTTCTCTTCGGAAATACTGAGATAAACTTTGATATAAATTACAGGTAAAATACTCCTATAAAATTCAATAATTAAATTAAAAAACGAGAAAATTGACATTTATCATTGCAATATGATAATCAATAAAAAGAGATTGTCTTCTTGAAATATTGTGTGAGAAAAAGTTTGAGTCCATATTGGAATATAGTTCTGAACTGATATACGAGGGGCGTTCAATAAATAATGTCATTAGCTCGATGACATACAACATAGTAGTCATATGACATAAAGCTTGACTTTCTCTAATTATTGAATCTTTAATGAATTAATAACAGTTTATGTGACCACTTTTCATCACATAGTTTTATCGTAAGAAGCTGGGAAACAAGGGCTATTCGAGACACTGCATTATAAATGAATGGTAAAGAATCAGTAAACTAGGGTGAAAATAAAAGGTACATTAAAGCTGCTGTAAAACTTGTTAAAAATCCCAAAGAAATATTCACTGAAATATGTGACATTTACAGCAACCGATGCCTGTTTTTTAGACAAATTAGCAGGTGGATTTCACAGATAAAAAATTATATAATGGGCATCAAAAATGGGTACCCACCTTGCCAACAAAAATTATAACAACTTATGTACTATTTGCCAAATTTCAACAAATAATATTTGATGTTGTATGATTGACTTTAAGACACATAGCAAATATGATAGACATCATATCGGGAGTAGTTTACACTGTTTTTAAGAAACGTTTGACAGTAATTAAGCTTGGTACTCTAAGGTCACCCTGTATTTTGAAAAATGAGTGAAAACGACAGCGTGTACAAAAGTCTTAACAATTATTTTAAAATATCAGTAATTGTAGTAATCCACGTTTGTTTCATATTCAAACAGATATTAAAACATGAATCTATTGCTTAAAACCATTAAAACAAAATTTACCATAAGATGTACTTGATAAAAACGGCGAAGGTCTGTCAAGAGCAAAGGTATGCAAGAGCACAAAAACAGATTTATATGCAATTTTCTTAAATATTAGTGGTATTATTGTTCAAATTTGTATTCGGGGAGACAGTTTAATATCTGGAGGTGTCTAAAAAGCAGTTTTTTTGCAAAGAAATCGAAAGGTTTATCAGAAAAAGGACCCAGAATCAGGAATCCACTACATTGAATTTCTTCATGACAGCGTTTAAA